AGAGGCGGGAGGAGATCAGCAGCACTGAGCGGTAAAAGGCTGGAAAAAAAAAAAAAAAAAATAGTGAAAACAAGGATTTCATTAAAAAAAAAAGTAATGGTTTGTTATCCATGGTGGAGAGAGGAATACATCCTCCAGTTGGGGCTGTGGACTGGTTTTCTCCCACATATGGGACGGTGGTGGAGTACAGGCCGATCTCCGCTCACAATGGACTCTCATTCAAAGAGAAACAATCCCACCGAGGATCTGATCTGATCCTCCCCTCATAATCCATTATTAATTGGCCGCACTGAGCGTACCCGCCGCGTATCCACCACCCCCTCGGATGGATAATTAACAGCCATTATCCTAACCCCCCCCCCAACCGGTCGCTGAATACTTCATACCCTCGGGAGGCTGTTATTCCATGTTGAGAGGCTCGGTGGGCGAGGGTTTTACGGATGTCCTCACCAAGGCAATTACCGGCACCTATTTACTGGAGGCGACCACCCGCCTGGCTCCAGTGAATGGCGTTGGGCACACAGCTCACCAATCGCCAGCTCTCTAATTAGCTTGGCTGGCAGAGGCCGGAGAGACCTTTTCAGCTTTGATTAGGAGACTTTCCCCAACTATCGCCTCCCGCCGGCCCCATCAGCAGAGAGATTGCGGCAAGACTTAGACTGCCAGTGTGTGGGAATCACAACCAGCAAACCGCTGCCAGGGGCTCCAGTGAGAGTGACTGGAGGGCAGAAACTGGCCAGGCGGGGGGCGACAAAAAACACGCCTACCAGGAGCGCAGGGTAAATGGCAAACAGACCATTTTAAAATCTTGTCCAATCACTACTGTGTCTTCCAAGGTATAGATGGAGCTTCTACTCCGCCATTACCTCCATCTTAACACTTAGCAATGGCTGCTACAAATTGGGCAAACCCGGGAATTCTAGTCTCAGCAAGAGACGCAACAAGCAGCATGGACTTCAACACTGTCCAGTCAGCTGATTGTTATAGATGTGGGTTGCCAACACGGCCATCTTGGATGCAGAAACCGGCTGTGCCTTCCTGAGGAACCATAGCTGGCCCTGCACTGCTCATGCACGAGCAGTGCTTTATGAACATTTGTGCAGCCGCCTGGGTCATGTGACATGTTGCAGGAAGAGAGATGAGCGACATCCTCCTTGCTTACGTATTAGTGGTAGTGGGTACCGATAATTGGTACTTTCCCCCTTCCCCCAAAACCTGCAACTTAGCAACAGGGACTTCACTTTTTGAGTGATGTGATGCTTTAAGCACCATGAGCCTGAGGTTCAGGCAGCGGGCCCATGAGGACGTGCACCAGCTCTGCTCATCAGCCACTTCAGTACTTATTCATACAGCCTCCTGGGGTAGGTGGTGGCTGGAAACTATATATTGAAAAAAAAAGTTAAAGCAAAAAACAAACCTAACCATATTAAACTGCGGAGGGGGAGTGCAGGGAAATCGCTCGGGGGGGAGTGCAGGGAAATCGCTCGGGGGAGTGCAGGGAAAGTGCAGGGAAGTCGCTCGGGGGAGTGCAGGGAAGTCGCTCGGGGGAGTGCAGGGAAGTCGTCGGGGGAGTGCAGGGAAGTCGCTCGGGGGAGTGCAGGGAAGTCGCTCGGGGGAGTGCAGGGAAGTCGCTCGGGGGAGTGCAGGGAAGTCGCTCGGGGGGAGTGCAGGGAAGTCGCTCGGGGGAGTGCAGGGAAGTCGCTCGGGGGAGTGCAGGGAAGTCGCTCGGGGGAGTGCAGGGATCGCTCGGGGGGAGTGCAGGGGAAGTCGCTCGGGGGGGAGTGGGGAAGTCGCTCGGGGGAGTGCAGGGAAGTCGCTCGGGGGAGTGCAGGGAAGTCGCTCGGGGGGGAGTGCAGGGAAGTCGCTCGGGGAGTGCAGGGAAGTCGCTCGGGGGAGTGCAGGGAAGTCGCTCGGGGGAGTGCAGGGAAGTCGCTCGGGGGAGTGCAGGGAAGTCGCTCGGGGAGTGCAGGGAAGTCGCTCGGGGGAGTGCAGGGAAGTCGCTCGGGGGAGTGCAGGGAAGTCGCTCGGGGGAGTGCAGGGAAGTCGCTCGGGGGAGTGCAGGGAAGTCGCTCGGGGGAGTGCAGGGAAGTCGCTCGGGGGAGTGCAGGGAAGTCGCTCGGGGGAGTGAGTGAAGCTCGCTCGGGGGAGTGCAGGGAAGTCGCTCGGGGGAGTGCAGGGAAGTCGCTCGGGGGAGTGCAGGGGAAGTCGCTCAGGGAGTGCAGGGAAGTCGCTCGGGGGAGTGCAGGAAAGTCGCTCGGGGGAGTGCAGGGAAATCGCTCGGGGGAGTGCAGGGAAGTCGCTCGGGGGAGTGCAGGGAAGTCGCTCGGGGGAGTGCAGGGAAGTCGCTCGGGGGAGTGGGGAAGTCGCTCGGGGGAGTGCAGGGAAGTCGCTCGGGGGAGTGCAGGGAAGTCGCTCGGGGGGAGTGCAGGGAAGTATCGCTCGGGGGAGTGCAGGGAAATCGCTCGGGGGAGTGCAGGGAAGTCGCTCGGGGGAGTGCAGGGAAGTCGCTCGGGGGAGTGCAGGGAAGTCGCTCGGGGGAGTGCAGGGAAGTCGCTCGGGGGAGTGCAGGGAAATCGCTCGGGGGAGTGCAGGGAATCGCTCGGGGGAGTGCAGGGAAGTCGCTCGGGGGAGTGCAGGGAAGTCGCTCGGGGAAGTGCAGGGAAGTCGCTCGGGGGAGTGCAGGGAAGTCGCTCGGGGGAGTGCAGGGAAGTCGCTCGGGGGAGTGCAGGGAAGTGCAGGGAAGTCGCTCGGGGGAGTGCAGGGAAGTCGCTCGGGGGAGTGCAGGGAAGTCGCTCGGGGGAGTGCAGGGAAGTCGCTCGGGGGAGTGCAGGGAAGTCGCTCGGGGGAGTGCAGGGAAGTCGCTCGGGGGAGTGCAGGGAAGTCGCTCAGGGGAGTGAAAGTCCACTTTAGGTGGCCATAATACCTTCTAATTTGTCAGCCCCCCTGTCCACTTTACATTTCTTTTCAGGGACATACAAAGGTTTCTCAGGGACGTTCTCCCACCCGAATCCCGTATGATCGCAGCGTCTGTACTGTTCACCGCCATAACCAGCTGCAAACCCTCACCATTCGGCGCTCTGATCCGGATTCAAGTTGGACACAAAGCGCAATAATATTTTTTTTTTTTCTTAAATACGCCGGCTCGCCTTAGTCTGCCTGGACAAAAGCCCAGAAATAATAATAAACGGCAGAAAGCAAAGGCGACAGGACCCGAGGGGGGCTAATCACATGACGGCTCAGTGTGCCAGGCGACACTCCTTAAAAAGAAAAAAAAATGTAAAAACGGGCATTTAAATGGAAGTTCCCACAGGGAGGAGACCCTCTCCCTGCCACCAGCAGCAAGAGGAGCGAGACTCTGCAGAAGAGAAGGCGCCAGATGAATGTGCAGAGAGGAACCAGTCACATGACCACAATTCACCGCTAGAATTGAAAGCAGACATCTCTCCGACACAGTCCTCTGGGAGAAGTCACTAAACTGCCCCGCGGCACCCGGATGTACTAAATGTGAGTCAGAAAAATCACCACGAATTCCATGTTCTGCCACTGACTCACAAATATTCCCGATACAATGTTCCCAAATGTCACCTTCAACAGATACAATGTTCCCAAATGTCACCTTCAGTGGTAACCCCAATAAAAATACAAAAGATTCCGATACAATGTTCCCAAATGTCACCTTCAGAGGATGTAACCCCAATAAAATACAAAACATTCCGATACAATGTTCCCAAATGTCACCTTCAGAGGATGTAACCCCAATAAAATACAAAAAAATACAATGTTCCCAAAAACATTAACCCCGATACAATGTTCCCAAATGTCACCTTCAGTAGATGTAACCCCAATAAAATACAAAACATCCGATACAATGTTCCCAAATGTCACCTTCAGGGGATGTAACCCCAATAAAATACAAAACATTCCGATACAATGTTCCCAAATGTCACCTTCAGAGGATGTAACCCCAATAAAATACAAAACATAAATAAAATACAAAAAAGATTCCGATGTTCCCAAATGTCACCTTCAGTGGATGTTCCCCAAATGTCCCAAC